ACATTATATGACATGCTATAAAAACATTCAATTATTCTAATTATTAAGGGGGATAAAGAAAAAAAAAAAAAAAAAAAAAAAAAAACTAAATAAGGAAATTGCTCTCCTTTTGGCCCTCATGTCTCTTTCAAGGATCAGGTCTCACGTTGAAGCTGATAAATTTTTAACACCTTTCCTGTTTAACACCTGTATTCATAACATCAGAATTTGGGCACAAGACCTGAAGCAAGCAGCCATCGCCAACTAAAATTCTTACTACTTTTTTTCATTATAAAGGAGATTCCTCTTCTTTGTGGTGAGGAAACTTTTTAAATTCAAAGCAATGCCATACATTAGTGGCAAGACTTTGACAATTTTAAGTAAAACAGTCATCTTCAAGGAATAATACAGGTGGATTCTGATACATCGTGGGGTGGGAGGAGAATATGACAGCGGTACTCAAATTACTGAATTTTGGAAAGTACACTATGGTATTTCCAGGAGCTGGAGAGAGCAGAGAGAAGAAAAAGATTAAAGATGGAGGAGAATGATCAGGGTGTGAGAAGAGAGAAAAAGCATCTTGCATATGCGTCCTTAATTCACCTGTTCCTATACTCTCTCAGGGGTTATCTTGGGGAGATGGAAGGGTGGCCATAGCTCCTTGGGGACCTGTGGGATTGGGCTAAAGAGGTGGCAGCCTGCCAGTGTGAAGAAGCATGCAGACCTGATTTGGAAGTGGCTGGAGTACTCAAGATTATTTTGGGAGCTGGAAATTGAATCCTTTGGCCCTTTACCCATCCCCCACTTTACCAGGTTTCTTTGGCAGGTTTCTCTCCCTTTCCTGAGACTCTTGGCATGAGGCAGGGCAGACTTCACAGCCTAAGACGACATACCCCTTCCAGGAAATAAATAGGCTATTTTATTTTCCTCTGGCCTCAGAATAAGGCTCAGAAAGCATATACATATCAGGGAACTTGTAAATGAATTTCATGACAAAACTTTGTAACACTTGGGATTATTTTCTCTTTACTATAAACACAAACTTGTTAAAGAGATCATTTTTTCTTAAAAAAAAACTCAAATGAAATGTAGTCAGTAATGTTACAAACTGTATTAAACTAATTCTTCATTAAAGACAAATTAAAAAATGTGAAAAAATTTCCCTGTTGGTGAACGGGAAGTTTTCTTTGAACCACACTATTAAAACATGAAACTACTTTAGGTACAGAATGGTCAAGGAGTCATCTAGAGCTTCGGAAAACAGTTTGGACTCTCCGGTAAATGCTTTAAAAAGGAAAAAGAATTGGAGCTTCAGAGCCCTTGATATTCATTTTAATTGGAAATGAAATAAGGGTGGGTTAGGAGAGGATGGAAACCAGCAAGGAAGCAACAGCAGTGTAGAGTGGGCTGAGGGGAAAGGGTTCTGGAATTGGCTAAAATCATAACTATTGTTTATGAGCTCTCATAAAGCTCTCATGTTGCATGAGGGCAGACTGGAAATCTAAAGGTAGTAGGAGCTATGGAAAAGTTGAGACAAATAAGAGGATATGGAGGTGTACAATTATAAATGGAAAGTTTGAGCAAAAAAATTTATAGGAAGGACAGAGATGTTTTACCAGAACTTTCCAGGTCAGTGTAAAGTCCCTGACTTCTATAATATACAGTTCTCTTTATGTGCTTTGAAACTCATCTTCAGAGAGTAAAAAAGTAAATGTTATTAAGATAATAGTTCTCACTCGTACTTCTCATGTTCACCCATTGCTCTGAGTGCTTTTGAATACATTTTCCCATTTGACCCTTCCAATACTATGTGTACTAAGATGCTTGTCCTTGTATCACATATGAAAAAGCTGATACCCAGG